AAAAAAGTAAATCAGAGCTAAAAAAGTGCAAAAATGCAGGCAAATTTGCCTGCGTTGGTCTACATATTAAGGGATAAAATTAGAAATTACCAAACCTGAATAGTCTATTACTCAAATAATTTTTATGCTTAATGACTTTAAATTTATGAAATTGAAAGGCAATATATAAAGATTCAATTAATAAATAATGCTTACAAACAAATAGTATATTGAGTAATACATACATAGTAAAGTTTTTTGTTTAGTAATCTCTTTTAGTTAGCAAAAATTGTGACGAAGTTCTTGAGTTTTCATGCACTAGTATTCCAAACAAACATAAAAACTTGCAAGACTTCAAGTCTTATTTACTTTTTTGATGAGTTAATCAGCGCTGATTATTTTTGATTATTTAAACTACATGTTTTTTTCTATTTACTTATATACTTATTCATAAAGTTTAGTAAAAAAAATTTGAGATATAAAAAATTTCTGAAGAATGCTAACCAAAAGGTATATACGAACCAATCAAATCTAAGATCTGACACATGAATCATTCTAGAATCAGATTTTCTAATTTGGTAAATCCTCTGACTAAATTAGACTAAAACATATTAATTAATATTTTAAAAAATATACTATACTAATATAATAATATTGAGAGATGTAACGACTTAGTATAGTGATCTAGTTGTCACCTTCTCAAGTGGCAGATCTAGAGTTCAAATTCCATGATTGATGATATTTGAAAATTAGGTCTGTGTTCAGTTGATAGCTATGCTTATTAGTTGAATCTAGAACTAAATCTGTAACTTCAGTTATATTATCTAGTAATAGGAGCTTTGGTGTAATAAACCTGAGGAACCGGCATAACTGAAAACCTATTTGGAAAAACCCAAATCTGAAGATAGCAGTGATCTTTGATAATATTACAGGAGGGCTGAATTCAAACCAGAGTCCAAGATCAGAGAACTGAGCAACCAGGTTCTACAGTAAAGGACACACTAGCCGAACCACCAGGTTGTTGTACCAGAGGAAAAAGACATATACTCTGAAAGTAAAACATGCAGGTGAATACATGTGTAGGACATGTACCACTCTGTTAGGTTTATCTCAAGGATAAATTAGCCAGAAATGGTTGATAAATCCTAAGACAATTAGTGTATCCTTAAGAATAATAACCAAAATCCATATATAAATAGTGAGAAAACCCAGGGTTAGGTGGTTAAATAATGGCCAGATGATTTAAATAGGTACCCCCCTAGTTGGGGTGCAAATACAGCAGATAGTGTAGAACCTTCAGGCAGACTACTTAAATTAGGCACCAAAAGTGCACATGTGGCTTGATGTATCATTGTAATTGCATAACATCATTTCAAATCCTGATAAAAGCTTTCAGGCCAAAGAGGTCACCTTAATGTCAAAAAAAAAAACTAATATAATGACATTTACATACAATATATTAAACAGGTATAATATTCTCTTGTAAATCTTTAACTTTCTGTTTAATTTCTTTTTCATTGTATAAAGCTTCAACTTTTTTGGTTTCTTTTTAAAGATAAATATTCTTAATAAGTGTTTTTTTATAGAGTTTTTTATAACTTGTTGTTTGTGCTTAATCACGATTGCAATGATTCTAAATTCATCTTGATCAGGTCTAGATAATTTGTGAATTCATCGCTAGCTTCATACCATAACTTTATTTCATCGTCTATAGCGTGAACATTCGAAATACATGAGCTCATAATTCTTTTCACCAGGTACTATTATGTTGGTCACGTAAGTACCTTAGCTTTGCAATTTTGCAAACTCAGAACTGAACGTACTAATTACTAAAGCCAAAATTAAAATTTTAAAATTAGATCAAGTTTTGGTTAAATGTGTTACACTGCAGCTAAAAAAATGGCTATATAAGGCCTTAGGTATTTCAGTGCATTATGCTTTCGAAGATACTTTAACGAATATAAATGTCGATACCAAAGTTATCCATTACTACCATATCTATTATTGCTGTCGTTCTTCGGCTGACGTTGTTAGCGTACGGTGAATGGCAGGACGCGAACATGCAAGTGAAATATACTGACATAGATTACAAAGTGTTTTCCGATGCTGCCCGATTTATTACATTAGGTGAAAGTCCATATAAACGCTCAACATATCGCTATACGCCTCTTCTCGCCTTTCTGCTAACACCTAATATATATATACACAAATCTTTTGGAAAGCTTGTGTTTATACTCGCCGATATTGTTGTGGGAGTTTTAATACATAAAATATTATGCTTACGAGGGCTAAATGAACAAAAAGCTGCTAATTATTCAGCATTATGGCTTTTAAATCCTATCGTAGCAAATATTTCGACGCGTGGAAATGCAGAATCTTTACTTGGAGCAATGGTTTTGTTAACTCTATACTGTATTTTAGTGAAAAAATTCCTCTTTGCTAGCATTCTATACGGACTTTCAGTTCACTTTAAGATATATCCTATCATTTATGCAATCCCATTATTGGTTTTACTGGATGAGGAAGATTATCAAGGATTAAGAAGAAAAGGCAAGGAAAAAGAGCATGATAAAAGTTCATGGAGGTATTGGGTTGGGAAGATGTCAAGATTTGTTACACCGACACGAATCGAATTTGCACTGATAAGTGGTAGTGTATTCTTTGTCTTGAATGGGATTATGTATCTTTTGTAAGTCAACCTTTTGAAATTTCCTGGTTTAATAATTGACCTATCGTCGATACTCAATATTATGACTGCTAAAATAGATATCGACAAGAATTCATCGATGAAACATATCTATACCACGTGACACGCAAAGATCACAGACACAATTTTTCACTGTGGTTTTACTACATCTATCTAACTTTTGACATTTCAAGAGGATCACTTTTGGGTTTAGTTCTTTTCATACCACAAATTGGCCTCGTTACACTATTGGGCATTGTATTTGGCAAAGATATATTATTCGCGTGTTTTATCCAGACATTTACGTTTGTGGCTTACAATAAAGTTTGCACATCACAGGTACATTACTGCTTTTTTTGTCATTAATTTTTGATATATGCTATTATATATGCTGTGTGTAACTAATAAATATACTCCAGTATTTCATGTGGTATATTTGTCTATTCCCACTCATAATTCACTCTACCGCGATTAAATTCAAATATAAAGGGTTTTTAATGTTATTTGCGTGGATTAGCGGTCAGGTAAATATGCTCATTATCTTTCTCGGGTTTATTATGTGTTCTCGTGTGATAGACTGAGGCTCATTATTATTATTATTATTATTATTATTATATAATAGGCTATTTGGTTATATCAAGCTTATCTTCTTGAATTCCTTGGCGAAAATACATTTTTAAGGATATGGATGGCAAGTATTGCGTTCTTTGTAATAAATATATGGATACTAACAGAAATTGTGAAAAATCACAATTATGAAAAATGTTTCGAGCTGGGCAAGATCCGGAATGTCTGGGGCAATTCTGGCGACATAAAAAATGACAAACACCAACAAAGATAACCGATTGACGAACATTCAAGTAAATAACTAGTTCTAAAAGTGATTCTCTAATATTTATTTAAATGTTCTAAATGTTACACGTATTGTTGCCCGAAATTCTGAAATTGATATATTGCACCGATTTTAACGTTATCAAGCCAAATTCAATTTTTCGGAATGCGTATTTCATTACATAATATGGCAACCAAACAATGAAAAATCTGGAAAGAGATGAAAAGAGGACAAACCGTATATGCGTGCATACCTGTCACGAAGTTCTGATGCAAGTTAATATTCAATTCCTAAAAAAAAAATAAGATTATTAATGACGGTTATATATTTCGTATTCAAATGACCACTAAATAGCAAAATATTTTGTCTGTATTGATAATGATCCACATTATATTTAATTCGGCATATAATTCAACCTCACCATAATTACAAAGGAAAATAGCCTACAGCTTACTAATAAAAAGTGATTTGGAAGGTGACAAGATTTTAAACCAAAAGCACGAAAATATAATTGGAAAATGGCTGATACGTACAATTTTCCATAAACTGCTTATTACGATTTATAAATTTTTTTTTTTTCTAATGCCAGAGTGAAATTCTTATTCGTGTGCATAATGGAATACCTTTTAATTTAAATAGTTAATTAACAAAATATCATTAGAAGGAATAAACCAACATAAGTAAATAAATACCTGGAAATTATCGTATAATAAATTTTGATCTGCATTATAATGAAATTGGTAATAACAAGGATCGCAAAAGTAAGCTGGCGATTCCCCGGACAAAAAATCGTTAACAGTCACAAGGCTTTATAGAAAGACAGTGCGTTAGTATTTGAATTAGGAAATCTATTCAAACACCAATAAACCATTTAAACTTACATAGCAGGTCGTTGCATGCACATACGACATTTGTGTCGACCTATTTTACCACGGAATATAGCTTTTGGGTAAACAGCTGGATCTGGATCATCATATGCTTGCTTTAACCTAGATATTGTGATATAACAATCAAGTAAACATTATGCAATGTAAATGAAAAAAAAAAGAAAATTTAAAGTACCTCAAGTCTCTAAAAACTACTGCATGTTGACAATCTCCCTGATGGACAAACAAATACGGCTGGTTTAGCTTTATTGATAATTCATTGAATGTCACATTTTCCATTGTCTTGCTACGGTAAAGACCAAGCCCAGGTTGTCTGTATCTATTTTTTTCTTTAGCCCATTCTATGATGTTTCTGCAAATATAGACAAAAAGTAGTAAATATAATAGGAAATATTAAATGTTACTAAGTTGAATAGCATAGAATTATTATTTTACCTGCTATAATCAACAGCTCTCGGGTCCCTGAGATCGTTATAAAATACATTTTCAATAAAAAAATAACTTGGTGACATTTTTCGATTTGTTGCATTTAATATAGTAGTAGGCTTTGGTTGTTCCCATGGTTCAAGCTTATAAAAATCTCGAAGACAATAGAATGCATCTCTAAGAGCGGTTAATGGTTGACTACCCAAAACCAAAAATTCCTGTGTGCGAGTAGAAGTTTTACTCTGATTATAAAACGCAACCGAAAGGATGGCTTCAGGCTTATTTTCAAAACTTTGAGGTTCGCTTGGCTTGTTTGGTTTAGAGAACTGAATAATAACAGAATCAATAATTTGTCAATATAGAAAACGTGATTTACAACTAATAAACACGAATAAACACGTACTTTTACAGAAGACAAATAATTCAAATCCGCACGTTTCATATGTGAATTTCTAGTTCTATTGGCATCCCTTGATAAGGAAAAAGGAAACTTAAATAAACACATTTGAGTAAAAATCGACAAGGTTGGTATCATCCACTAACCTTAAACTTGCCAGAGGAGAACTATCCATCTCTGTAGTCATTTCCATGAATTTAATTTCCATTGCAGACGGCTCAGCAAAGAATTGGCTGGAGAGTTTGAAATACTCTTTCACGCTAAAAGGATAGTTAAAGGATAGTTAAATTGCCGAGAAATATATTTATAATTTTTTTATAAATTGAAATAATAAAAAAATTACGTTCCAACCTGCATTTCTCCCTGATTTCTTTAAGCTGTTTTTTATTAAGTTTTTCAGACAACTTAGAATCGCATCGTATGCTCTCCTCTTCATGTCCAAGCTCTAAACTGAAAGAATCCAGGAATTTCTGAACATTAATCAGTTCCGTTGGTTCACCTATTTGAAGGGACCAAGTTTTCTCTGCACACCGATTAGGTTCTGCGGTTCCTTCTGTTTTATCCAGGTATTCTTCCATACGGAGTTGTTAACTGGAAGCTAGAATCACCGGAATATTGAATCTGGATCCGGCGGGTTTCCAATGAAAAAAAATTTTCAGCGCACTGTAACCACATATAGTTAGTGCATGATCAATCAAACTATAGAGCGTAGCCCAGAAAATTCCTATGCCGGTTCTATTTTAAAACTTATAAAAAATAAACCGGTTTAAAACCAGGGTTTGAGTAGATACAAAAAACAGATATTTAGACCAGACTTTGAACACTAATAAAAGTAATAGAAACACGATTTTACTTATATATTATTAACATTTTCTCGTTTTAATTCAACATTAATCATAACTCTGATTTTTAGATGCATTTTTTAATTTGAATAATAACTGTTAAATACAACTCGATCTTTGTACTGTACATTCATGTTATTAAGTCGTAGAAATCAATTAAAGGTGGAAATTAAACAAAATGAAAGCAGATTTTTAAATATGCCCCTTTTCTAACCAATGTTAGTTTAAAAAATTTTCATCTATTGGTTGGGAGCAAATTGATACACTACGAAATTTCAGGGAAATAATAGAACTTGTGGAAAACAAAAAAAATGAAATCAGTAAAGAGATAATGGCAGAAAGTGTGATGATTAACAAACAGTTCGGAAATAATGAATTTACTTTAGGTTTGCAAAATAGGTTTACTCAAGGTCAATATCTTTTATAGATATTAATCTTTATATTTAACAAAGTAACTTGCTATATACTCTTATTAATTACAAAATTGCAAGGTTATTTATTATCGCTAACCATTAGTTACGTGTTTCCAAATCATCATCGTCTTTATCTTTTCTTATGAGTGATAAATCACTGATGAGATATAATCAGTATCGGAATCGACAGTATCAATGGTATTTTTTTTGATTTTTAAATATATTCAATATCGGAATCGACATTATCAATGGAAGATAAATCTTTTGAAATATCTTTTTTTTTATTTTTACTGGGTGTAAAGATGTCTGTTTTTCGCTTTTTATTGAATGATTCTCCTCCTTCTATATCATCTTTATTGCGCTTTTTAGAACCTTCTAAAATACTTTCTTTACGTTTTTTAGAACCTTCTGAGATACTTTCTTTACGTTTTTTACAAATAGATAAATTTCTTAAAACATTTTCTTTTCCGGATTCCCATATTTCATTGACTTTTTCGAGATCAATCTTTACAAAAATCATTTATTTAGAATTTGGTAAAAAAAGTTACATTCAGCGACATTATCGTATCTGTATTATAATAATTACAGCCCGTGAGTATGGAAAATTAATTTACAAGAGCATATCATTTTCTATTAACCTCTCACAGCAAGGTGTGCACATATTCACTCTTTATTCCTCTTCTAATCCTTTGTTGTCCTTGATTATTTGTTGTCCTTGCCGTATTTGCTGTCCTTGTCGCTCTTACGTCGTTTGTTTCGTTCTTGCCTTTTCGCGTTATGTGCACACACATGCTATGCTCGTTAGATTCCCACATTATAAAGTGAAAATTACTAACCTATTATTAGCGACGTTAAAGCTCTGTTCGGAGGATCGTTAACTTCAGGTCGTATCTGTATTATGAGACACTTTGCTTGATATGATACGTTGGGGTGTTGGTGTTGATGCACTATGTAAATCGATAGTTACAGCTCGTGAGTATGAAAATTAATCTACAAGAGCATATCATTTTCTAAAAAAGGTGCATAGCTAATTCCTCTTTACCGGAACGGAATTAACAGACTTTAGAATCCACCTCTCATATTATAATTAACCTCTCATAGTAAGGTGTGCACAATCCATTCCCCACCCTCTTCCAATTATCTACTTCGTTGTTCTTGTCGTATTTGTTGTCTTTGTAGTTGTCTTCCATGTGCACACCATGCTATGACTCGTTAGATTCCCACGTTGTAAAGTGAAAATTACTAACCTATTATAACATCTCGGGTCTTTTTGAAAGTGTTTTTATACCAGTTTCGCCAAGAACTCATGGCTCAATTCACGTTCCCGGTGACGAAGTTGCTTAAGAAGAGACCAATTTATACTAGTTTCGCCAAGAACTCATGGCTTAATTCACGTTCCCGGTGACGAAGTTGCTTAAGAAGAGACCAATTTGTACCAGTTTCGCCAAGAACTCATAGCTCAATTCACGTTCCCGGTGACGAAGTTGTTTAAGAAGAGACCAATTTTGGAGTTTGTCAACGCCGGGAAAGATTTTTTTTAAACAAAAATGATAAAAACTATGCTATTGAAGTCCGTTTTAATAATACAAAAAAAAAAAGAGCTACGCGTTTTATTGATGATCAAAATAGGAATTGTTGTCAAAAAATTTTTATTGGCGCAAGCGCGTATTATATATGAATGAAAATACTGATCGTAGGTCATGTGAGTTTCGACGCCCTGAATCAACCAAAATTTAAAAAAACAATACTAAATATAATTTCTCGCAAATTTTGACTATAGCCCATAATTTCTAACTCCTTAATAATATGGTAGTGACTACTTACGGCATTACTACCCTGAAAAATTTCCCTGGCTAATCAAATTTCAAGTAAGCACAAAAATCAATAGTTTTTGTACAAGATGGTTCACGCGCTTTACATAATTATAATCAATTTTTGTATACCATCCAACCAAGTATCTGAATATACATAACCAAATCCTTCTTTTGCCAATTTCTTTAGCATTAGATACCGTATAAAAACCCACCTGCGCTAATTAATTGACCTGCACGTTATTTCGAAATAAGAGTAGATTTTCTAAATCCAATACAGTCAACCTTCCATAACCGCATGTTTTTGGGTTTATAGAATATTCATTATCTACATATAACGATAATATTAAATAATTTAGAGTTCCAATCCGGATAAATCCGTCATCCGTTTATCGTATCTAATTATCCGGATAATTCAGGTCGCTCAGATATCTGGATATCTGATAGTTATGCTAAATGGATTGGAACTCTAAAATAATTACATTAGACCGATCAAATTATGAGCACTTATCATTATAGGGAAAATGCATGTTAAATGCACCTATAGAGAGTGCACATAATGGAGTGTCGATTGTATATCATTTATCGCACAATAAATTATGTGCTACATTATGATGCGCGTTTAATTCGGGACGCCCATGAGCGTTAATGTCGAGAACATACAAGTTATTCTTGAAGGACGCCTGCACATGTGATAATTGACCAATGATTCGATTATGATCAAATATGATCTAACACGCTCAGGAATACGTAAAAAAGATTTATCCGTTTTTATATCTCAAAAATTTATAACAACCCGACTTTTACGTGAAATTTTACCACATAGTGGCAATTTTTTCATAATAATCTTAAAGTTTGTCGTAAATTTTAACAAACAATAAGAAATGCATTAATTATCACGTGTGCGGACAAATCCCTCTACACGCTAGATCTTTCACCGCCCATTAAGTGAAAATTGTTCCTGGGCAAATTTTACGGCTTATTTTTTAAAAAGTTAATTCCGGCCGGAAATTGGTAATTATGTAATGTGGGCCAGAATTTTGAAGATCCTCACGGTACCTAAGTTCAATCATGTGCTTCTTCATGCGCCGTATTGCTAACTTGACTATTATTTAAGAGCCAACTTTTCAATCTATTGATCTTTGAACCAATTTTTTATTTTTTTTAAAAAAAGGATTTAAATGTTACCTACTGTACATAAAGAATGTATGTGCTTTGTATCTAATTCAATTGCAATTAGCTATTTTATAATCACAATTTAATAAATTGATTTCAATTATAATAAAATATAGGTGTCTCAATTAATATATTTTTGCGATAATGTCACAAGAACTTACACAAAGACGCTTAAAAGTATCTATTTATTATTATTATTTTATGTCGATTTTATGAACCATTTTTCTGTTTCCTGCGTCTATTTTATTTTCTTTTTCTTTGTTTTAGTCAACTGTACATTATACAGGCTTTTATTTGTTTCCTATGTTCAAATATTGTACGATGAGATTGATATTTTAATTTTTATTTACTGCCTGTACTGTACATTGTACTGTGTAGGCACTTTATATTTTTATATATACTTTTTGTTTGATTCTCTTTTTCAATTGACTATACATTGTACGATTTTTATCTATTTCTTATATCTGTATGTTGTGTTATAGAGATAGATATTGTAAATATAGATTATTATATAATTTCTTTTTTTTAACTTCTCTTTTAATTTTTCAACATAGAAATCTAAAAAAAAAAGCAGTTAAGGCCTAGGCCATGTGGGCTAATCAAGAGATTATCAGACAAATGGAAAGAGAAGAAAAGATGGAGGAGTTAGAATTGGAAAATGCAGTCTTGAATATGAAAATAGAAAGAAATGACATGACCACGAAGAGGAGGTGATGCAGCTAGAAGAGGACATTAAGGAGTGGACAGAAACCTTAGAGCATGAAAAAGAACAAAAAAAGTTGACCTAATTCATAAAAGAAACCAACCCGATATCAGGCCATGTTGGCCAATGTAGTTGATGGTGATAATAACGATAATAATAGTAATGAATGAGTAATTCATTTTAGTAAAAACACTTAATTATTAAAATATACTTTTGATATCGATTGGTTTTTTTTTCTTGTTTTTTTTTCTTTTTATTATGATCTTTCCAGTTTTATGTGAGTCATAATTTTGAGCTATTTCATAAGCTTCTAATGCAGGATTGTAAGAGGTAAAGAGAGTGGGTGATGCAGTTATGGCCATACCAGTAGGGAGTACTCCAGACTACAATAAAATATATAATCCACCTCTGGAGTGCTCCGGAGTGGGTTATATGTTTTATTATTGACTGGAGTACTCCATTAACAACCCTACATACCAGGAACGTACGTACGTACTTTTTACAGCATGATGTTTAATCATCACATATCATATGTAAATATCGAAATGCGATGTGATTTTTGTAACCTTAAAAATGTTACATTGGGCATTATACAGCATGATGGTTATCTATAATTAAGTGTAAAAAAGAAGATGAGTAAGGGTGCTCTCAAGCATCTAATTTAATAGATCAGAGCACAATTTAATTAGTGCAAAATATTTTATTCAGTCAAGTTTTGCCGATTGGCCAAAATCTATTATCCGCATTTCGCAACATCAAAATCATTGCAAGGATTACTTCAAGTAATCATAGTACTTGTACATAATCTACCACTAGCCAATCACATTGTCAAATTTGACTAGTGTATAGAAGATACAAGGCTAATATCAATATAGAACAAATTAAGTATGCTAGATCGACGTAATTTTAGCTATTGCCATAACATTTTGGATAAAAGTCAATAATACGAATGACGATATTATTGATATGCTCAAACATTACTATTACTGTAATTTTCTAATAATTGTAATGATAGATCAAAATAAAGATCTCAATCATAGATTGAGAGGATTCTAAATACTTTATCGAAATATTTTACAAAAAATGTGTGTCAATAATGAAAATCCATAATATAGTAAAAAGTATGAAAACACTTGAGCAATACCTTGTATAAAGTTTTGATAAAGTATTTCGACATGCTGTATTAAATTATTTATGATTTTGACTAATAATTTTCGTTACACCGAGAGCAAAATATTTTAGATACTGTATATATTTATATATATTCCAAGACAAATAACTAAATACCATATCATATTAAATAAATCTTGAAATTAGAAATTTGATATGAGTCTTATACTTCATGCTTATCAGAGTTTCGTACCAATCTTTATTATATTACATCTTAAACCAAAAATGTACAGTAAAAAAAAACATGATTCACCTTATTTAATGATCTTAAAGTAATTTGAAGTTTATAATAAGCAAAGATTCAATCTATAAAATTTTCTCGTTCGACTAGTATTTAATAAAATTTTAAGAAGCTTTTTTTCTAATTTTAAAACATCTTAAATACCTGTCGAACCACTCTATAATCAACCGTATTTATTTTAAAACCTAACTTAGAGTTACAGTATCTTCCAAAATGGTCTCTATCTAATACAATACCCTTTTGCATTGTGGATGCTTTGTTATTATGATTACTTGAATCTGAAGCTTTGTTATTATTGTAATCAACTTTCGTACAATTTGATAGATGATGATCTTTACTGCAAAAAAACTAGACAGCATTGTCCTTAAAGCATAGAAACCAGTATATAGTATAACTTAATCAGTAATTCGTGAGAGATAAAATTACCATAGTAATACTATATATACATGAGGGGATATTAAATATAATAAAAACAAACTTGTAAAGGCAAGTTTCTCTTTTTATGATGGTAAAATCATTAAAATCAGCCTAATAGATCATGATTCTTATTTTTGTTGTCTTTATGATTATATGAAATTTTCTTTGCAAATCTGCAAAGAAATTTATTTTCATATAACCGCAAAGACAAAATAAGAATATCTCACGATATATTAGGCTGATTTTGATAATTTTATTATTATTAGAAAGAGAAAAATTACCTCTACAAGTTTTGTT